TCTTTTAATCTGTCAGTTTAAATCTAACGACGGCATGCGTAGCTATCTCTTGAGTAGCTTTGTGCAAATATCTGAAAACAAATAAAATAATTTTTTAAATCTCGCTCAGAAATAAAAGCTTTAAACAGCTATTACCGCCAGTACGTGGAATTAGAATATTGGATTATATCTCTTAAACGGATTTTTTATTTAATGTGGGTTTTATTAATATCTACAGTAAAACATTTTAAACTTTAGTATGCATACACTATACACTTTAAAAAATCTGATTGTAATACTTACACTCAGTCAACGTGAAGCTATTAAGCCAAATAAACTTTTATTTAGGTAAGTCATTTTGGGAAATGATTGTAACCAATCCGTTAGAATCTTCTATAAATCACTTCAACGAAACCAAATATTCTACATCCCTGAACACGTATTCAGCGCAGAGCAAAGTTTGAAAGATGCTTTATTAACAAAACGTCAGGTCAATCAGTCAAGATACGACCATGTGCAACTACTGTAAATGACTAAATTACGTAAGTCAGGGAGTTTGCAGCGTAATTATGAATGACTCATACACCACCATCTATTGATGCTAGAACATAACACATGGATTACCATTCACGTCATAAACCAACGTTATCTAACGTTCAATTACTGGCCCTACAAGGATAATAGCAGTTTGAAATTAATTTCACCATTTTTACAGTCCATACCTTCATTAACGACTACGTGCTGATTGGAAATCATGAGGTTTCGTTAGGCGGGCAGTTTCACTATCATTAACCATAGAAAATGATAAGTTATAAGGTCACCACATAAATATTTCCTAAAGTATTATATTGTATCAGATAAAAATTAGCTAATCTATTTCAATTCTCTACAGAAAATAAAGTTTTTGAATATTTGAATAAAACCTTTCAACTCTTTATCTGGTCTCAATTTTCCAAGCGTAAGTTTTTTTGCAGTGACAATGAAATAAGCTGGTAACAAACAAACAAAAGATTTGGCAACAATGAGAGGATAAAACAAGCTTAATATTTAATAGCAGCTGTCTACAAAAGACGAGAGCAATGCACATCTTTAACTAATGACTGTTTTAAAATACTAAGATAAATAATAAAATCGTTTAATGGTTTTTGTATTTTCAGTTGGAAAACAATTCTCATTTTTGTTGTATTTTACGAAAACAAGACGAAATCAAAATATCAAATACAAGCTGAAATACCCGTCAATTGACGGAAAATGTGTAAACTTAATTAAAACAATGTAAGTGTAACAGCAATCACATATTTCAAAGTAATAACTTGAACATAACTTTATCTCAAAATTTTTAAATTATAACAAAACTTCTTCATAAACTACATTTGCAGTTTGCTTTTCATCTACCAACAAATAAAGACATTGAGGTGATCCCACCCTTGAACACTACATCTCATTGACCATAAGAACAGCATGGTTGTTTGAGAAACAGTCCAGCAACTTTCATACTTTAAACATGAACCTCTTTATAATATTCAACATTGTCTAAAGCGTCAACCTGAACAGATTGTTTGAGATTGACTCAAAAGGCTGGGAGTAATTAACTAACAGGTTTTACAAAATAGAGATAGAGTTAAGTTCAATTTTGACCATCTTAGGACATTCCCCATAATTCATGGTGTTTATATACAATTTTTGGTTGAGATTAGCCCAATAGGCTCTGAGGAGTTAGTGTGCAAACACACACACACACACACACACATATATATATATAAATATATTAATTGCAATAATAAGTTTTGCTATTACTAAGTACACCAATTATCAGTTAGTACAGTCAAATACGAATTTAACGCATAAATCAATCAGTCATGCTTATTTATACACAATTTACTGTAAGATAGACCTTTTAAGCGACCCATTAAGAGTTTCCGAAATTAGACCTATACACAGGTAAAATCATTATTTTACACTTACATTTCTTTAACGTGAAATATTTACAATGATTAAGGATTGTCGTTCAAATTAACAATAAGATGGTCATTATTCTTCGTCAGTGTCTTATACTTGGATCACTACTCTCAGCGAGTCACTACAAAAATAAAAGAAATGGTCATTATTCTTCGTCAGTGTCTTATTCTTGGATCACTTCTCTAAGTGAGTCACTACAAAAATAAAAGAAAATAGTCATTATTCTTCGTCAATGTCTTATTCTTGGATCACTTCTCTCAGTGAGTCACTACAAAAATAGAAGAAAATGGTAATTATTCTTCGTCAGTGTCTAATTCTAGGATCACTATTCTCAGTGAGTCACTACAAAAATATAGTTTTTAAAGGTTTATTTTCTAAAACGATAGAACAAATTCTGGTTTCACAAACCAAAATATAATATAGAGTTAAATATTTATAAGTAATATACACATATATTTCACTATAATAAACGTGAATTTCTATACGGTCTGTAAATTTTCCATGAAGACATTCAAGGATACGTGTGATGACAAAGATTTTACCATGTAGTTTCTGATAATGCTAATAATAAATTATCCCCTCACTCTCATAGTTATATTTCCATGAATATATGTTATATAATTATGGTAATGCCAAGATTAAAGTATAAAAAATTTTGCACCAACATTTTTAGTTGAAAATATAGGTTTATCGTCAAATTTATAGATTTTAACGTTTTGGGTCTATTTTTGAAAAACAAAAGCATGAGAACAATAATAACGGTTTCTATAAGTTTTAAAGGTTTTAGTGAGAGGCCTGTACGATGTTTAGTTTCAGAAAACTAATACAAATATCATATAGTAAACAAAGCTATCACTGATATAAACATTCATATAACTAATACCAATACTAAAGTTAACGGCTAAATAATAGCAACTTTATACAGTCATAAGAATGGAACAAAGAAAAAGACCTTTTAAATATACCTTGATGCTAAGAAACACTGAGGAACAAAAGTTAATCACAAAATAAAAAGTCCGATACCCAAGCGCTTTTTCATCCTAAGAAAAAGATGGATCTCTCTGCTGAAAGTGTAGTTTAATGGATTTATTATTTCGTTTATATTGTCATGTTGTTGTTGATTTTCACTCCAGTGGGTGGTGTTACCCCTTCAAATGGCAACTGTGCAAGAAAAGGCTCAATGCGATGGATTGTTCAGGGTGAGCCAATTCCGTGTCCTCCGCTTTCACCAGACATCACACCACTAGACTCTTTTCTTTGGAAGTATGTTAGGGACATCGAGTATCGCATATCTGTAGCAAACATTACGGAACTAAATACCAGAATAATGGATGCCGCATAACTATAGACACTTGCAGCAAACGTGAACTGAAATGGAATGTCAGTTAGACGTACTGAAAGCCACTGATGGTGCACACGTAGAAATCTACTGACATGTCAATAAAAACTGTTTGAGTTGGGCTACATGATGTTGGCTACACGATGTTGAAAACTACAAGGTTGTATTTATTTAGTTATTTAATTATTAAATTTTAAAATAGGAAATAGAATTTTGGACTACCCTCTACTATGCTGTAATACGAATTACAGTGAACATTGCCCTTAAGGAATTTATGTTCTAGCACTCACATACTACCTAGGATTAGTGAGACGAGTTGCGGCTTTTAGTGAGTATGACGCTGATTGTTTATTTACTGCTGGTTGCATACCGAGTAAAACTAAATGAAACTTGGTTTGTTTGTTTCAGAAATTCACGCACAGTTACACAAGCACTATCTGTGCATAGCGTTCCTAGTTTTGAACAAATATACTGGAGGGAAAGTAGTTAGTCAACATTACCCACCGCTAACTCTTGTCTGATCAAATACTAGGATTTAAACATAATTCTAATAACGCACCAATGTCCACAAAGTGTAGAGCGTGTTTCCGCGGCAACATATCGTAAATTAGAATTCCCATATTCACAGTGTGGACAATCTAACTAGTAAGATTCGCTCGTCCCATTAAATCTAGAGTCGTCATTACTTTAAGATATTTCATTTCTTATAGAAAAAGTGAAATTGTTAAGTTGGAATTTGGAACTTACAAAAAAGTAAGATTCCAAAGGCTTTTTATGTATCTCCAATCAATAGTCATGTTCCTATTTTTCAAAAGTTTGCAATTTATTTGTCGATCACGAAAAAAACTTTTGAAAGCATCCTACCAAATATTAAAATCTCTAATCATAAGATTGACACTAACCACACATCAAACAAGTTTTGTTTGTTTGTTTAAAAGCACTTTGGACCATCTGTTACGTCCACCGGGGGAATCGAACCTCGTATTATAGCATTTTAAATCCGTAGACTTTCCGCTGTCCTATCGAGGGACCATCAAACAAGTAGACACAGCATTAGGAATGGGGAACAGTATTTAAGCTTGAGAGATTTGGTATAAAAGTTTATGGAAGTAAGATTATATAATGCGTGATATATTACTAATACGGATGAAGAAACGGTTGTTTAAAATATCTTTTTTTTTTTTACTTAAATGAATAGTTTTCAACTTTTATAAACCAAAACTTTCAGGGTATCACTGTGTCAAATACAAATTTTTCTGAATTTGGCTACGGTTGATTATAGTAATTATAATACAAAATACGCGAAGTTATGCATATATATGTGCGTGTGTATAAGTATATATACATATACAACTTCTTACGACACAAGTCATTAGTTTCAAAGCACCCGTTTCTTGTCGTACGATGACACCGCCCATGGAAAAATATTACCACACCCAGGTCGTTGTCTAATATGTGTACCTTAAGATATTAGTGATGATTAAGCTTTGACTTAAGGATTAGGAGCAAAAAATAGTCAAGTTGAAGTTATCATCTTTATTATTAAATCTCTTACAAAAATTTGAAAACCATGCATAAATTTCGTTTAATTATAGTTTTTACAAAACAAATCCAGTTTCTTTGAAGCCTTACGAACTCGTGTGATGAAACTGAAACTTATTTCAGTAATTTAACACTTTTTTGTTCTTATAACTATACTGGTTTTGTGAGTTTTGTTTATGTGTGTGTGTGTGTGTGTGTGCTAATAAAGCTATAATTTCTACTTAAACTGTTATTCCAAATAAGAATAAGGATTTAAGGAAGCCACAACCAAGAAAATAGAGTTGAAAACACTTCCCAAGTTAGAAATCTCGCCACTTCACTCGATAGGTTGTATCCAGTATTACACATAATATCGAAATCAATTTTTTTCATATTCACAAAAACATTCGGAAACGTACAGTACGAAACTGTAGAGTTAATTTTTTTTAATGTTTTTCACAAAGTTTTTGTGCAATACGTGTCGTTGAACGGCTAACTGTAATGTAAACAACTTATGGTTAAAAACCAAGTTTTAGTCAGTAAGAACTAGAAATAGAGAACAGTAAATTTTGCTTTACATGCACGTGATTATTATATGTAAAACTCATCTCATTAAACTCATCAACATCTCCATCCCTCTTGACCTTGTAATAACTCTTACATCCAATGACAAATTATTTCAAAATGTTAAAGAGAACGATCAAAAGATTTAGACAGTAGCCACGACTGTGACACTATTAACCTATTAGTACCATTATATACATACTAGGACACTGGTTTTATCTTACCAATAGGTAAACCAACATAGTTATCGTTACGTTAGGCTACTGGAATAAACATCTTTGAGCTCATCTTTATTAAAAAGTATAATGCACAAAGATGGTATGAATACTACGTCTTCTCAAGTTTCTGCTCAGAATCTGCCACTCAATGGAGTAATTCCAATGTCCTGCTTTCACGCTATTGATATACTACTACTTTGTATCAAGGCTTGAGAACGTAATCTCCAGTTACAGAACTCTTGAGAGCTTGGTTCAGGAACTGTTCGAAATACAATAATAGAGGATGGTTACGTGATCCACAGGGCACACACACTTGACATGAATATATAAAGTTAAGGAAGATTAATGACTCACAAAACACTGTTATACTAACACGAAGTAATAAACTATACATCTTCTGTCTTTAAAATTGTCTACACTTCAAGAGCAACGCAGATGAATAAGTTATGAGGAAATGTTTACAACTGAATTGTGGTACGAACGAAATGTTCATCCAAACTCATATTGAAAGACCATAATAAATAATGTTTTGTGCTTGCAAAACTCGCTTTCCACAACTTTTTTTATTACTATGTTATGCATTCTTACGAACTAAACATTTTGTATGTGTTTATGTTTAGTTTCCGTTATCTTTTGTTCGTTTTCATCTGTACAAACATCAATTTCTCAGCAACACTCGTTAGTAAAAACGGTTGCATGCTTGTAAAACGTTGCAAAAAAAAAAAAGCTCGTTTAATTATTCACTGCTTCATTACACTCCTAACCAACATACCTGTAAGCGTGGAGGTTGTGGAAATGAATGGTATGTACGTTTATATAAAACAGCTTGGTAGTGTTGTAGTGAATGACGCGAAAACATTACCTGCCGTTTTCAACAATCTCGTAACCCTTTCAAAGTTTAGGTCTGATTCACTTCACCGATTAACCATTCTCAAATAAAAGATTGTGCTTCTAAGGGAATAATAACATTATAGTCCAGAGTAGGTGTACGTGTTTATAGTTCCTATTACAAAGAGGGAAAGAAATATACAGGGACGACGACAGATCAGCGTGCTTCCCGTTTAGAAACCAGAACGATACAAATAAGGATAACAATCGCTGACCACTGCAGAATTAAACAAGTGAAGCATGAAATTGATTTTTCTCGGAGCTCGTTCAGCGGTTTATTTTGTTGTTGTTTTGACTGAAACGATCGACATAAATAAAGGCTCTTTTGTGTAAAGTGCGCCATTCACGAAAATGATGATTAATGATTAAGAAAAATGGTATTCAATTGAGCAACTGAAAAAAAAACTAAATAGAAAGAAAGAAACCCAATCAATTTCTTGGGAGCAGAAGAAAAAAAAAAAAGAAACGTGTTATCAATGTTGTAATATTTCCTTTCTTGGGATTTTAAATTTAGATTGCACCATGACACTGCTCGCCAGTATCCTTGAGTTTTTTCATAAACTACGTGAAGTAATTATTTGCAGATTTCTCGTCATACCCATGACTGACACTGGTTGTTCTTTTACTATTCAAAACCTCCAGTTACAGTTAAGTAGCAGGACACTTAACCCATTTTTCTAGTAAAAATATGTATAACTCTGTGTTAAGAACTGCGGAATAGCTTGGAATTAAATAAAACTTCATATCAAAAAACCGATGTTTTGTGAAACTGAATAATAAATAGTAATCAAAAGCTAATAATCTCTTAACACAAACACACACACACACACACACACACATATATAAATGTGTGTGTGTGTGTGTGTGTATACACCTTCAGGCTAGAAGTGAATTTGGGTACGTGATATTAAGTGAAAAATATTGGATCCAAATTTGTACAAAAAATCAAGAAAAAAATACGTCTTTAATGGAAATTACGAAAGTCAGTTGCTGCTCATAAAGTTGAAGTTTACTTGGATAGTGTGGAATTAAATGTCTGCTAAATGATTATGTAATTATACTGCAAAAACATTCGCACAATATGATTATTAATAACTTTGCAATTACCATTATGATTTGGAAAAGTAATACATGTAGACTTTTCGGTTACAGTCCTTTTAAACATTAGTTCATTTCAATTTTAAATATATCATTTAAAACACTATATATATATATATATTGTCAGATTACGTCACCTGCTAACAACACAATTTACATACGGAAAATATCATTTTATCATCCTTATCCCGGATGCTATCAGTTCCTATCAACATCTACATGAACAAACACGCAAGCTTTACTATCCATCAAATATCTTTACAAGACAAGAAACACACATATTCTTATGCTTAACACTATTATATTCCTTTAAGCCTGACGTTTTTCTTACATGACCGCACTGGGTATTTTATCATCCTTATCCCAGATGCTATCAGTTCCTATCAACATCTACATGAACAAACACGCAAACTTTACTATCCATCAAATATCTTTACAAGACAAGAAACACACATATTCTTATGCTTAACACTATTATATTCATTTAAGCCTGAAGTTTTTCTTACATGACTGCACTGGGTATTTTTTCTGTGGTTTATCCGTAATTATTTATAGAAAAAAAATTCCTCTATGACTACCTTCTTGTGATCAAAACACCTTGAAATTGTAGTTCCGTTTTATAACAGAATAGTACAAAGTAGTGGTTTACAGAGAATGGTTCTTATCTACATACAAAATATCTGTTTTCTCTGTTTCATTTACATATCCATTCATCTATACATGATGTACGTTTAGAAGCTAACAAGACCACATACTGGATTTTCCTATGACGTTCTTTTTATTGTACACATACACAAACACATATAAAACACAAACATATATAGAACTGGTACAAGTAAAAGCCAATGATCATGTTTAAATAGCAAGTTGTCAGCTGCATAAAAGCTAATGTGGCTTTTGTTAACATTTACGTCGAATACTTCTAGGAATATCCTAAACACAACAATGCAGGGGTCAATTCACAATAAGTGTTGATAACAGGGTCGATTTTTACCGTTTCCACCAGTTAGTTTGATCAATCCGTAGAAGTTTTAGTGTTCATGCATACCTCATGATTACTGCGATATATGTTTGTATCGTTGCCCTAAACAAATAAAAGTCAGCTTTTAATTCCGGTTTCTGTTTTCGTAACTAATATTATGTAAAACATACATGTGGCAGGATTCTTAAACCATTTCGTAATACAAATATGTATCACTGTTTTAGCAACTGCAGAATAGATTAGGATTAGATACAACATCATAACAACTGCCGATGTTTCGTGAAACTGAACAAAAATAGTAATTACTAGTATTAATCTTATTATCTCCAAACTCGATCACCAGAGACATTGTACTCCTCGTAGTTGCTGTAGGTTGGTGTGTCATGTCACAAATCTTCAATTAATTAACTTAAATGTCAAATAACCTTTTGCTGAAACCGGCCCACGATACTATTCAGAGCGGACATTGTATCCAAATAATAAATAATCTTCCAACAGTTTGAGCACTCACATCTTACATTATCAAAATGAAATTCACCACTATAACATCCAATCGTAAGTACGGTATTTTTTCTTTGGTGTCTGCGTTCTACATTATTAACTTACAGAAATACACCATAATTTCTTCACTCTTTTAACCTAGAATGACCAAATCACATTATTTGCCCAATGTTTACATATCGTAGACGCTTGACTGATGACAAACAGGAAAAACGTCATTCTTGTAGGAAATTACGTAGTGAAATTACTGTTTGCAAGATAGGTGTTTATGTTTTTGTCACTCTTGTTTTAATCAAGTTTTTGGAAAATCTGTTCATTTAATTAGCTCTTTCTTTTTTTCCAACTATCATGTGGAACTAAAAGGTTTTGACTAGATATAAGTAAATATTAAGTAACTTTATTGAATTATATTTAAAACTTAGTTTTTGTTTTTAACGAAAAATTCCACAATGGCCTGTGTCTGTTGGGCGGAACGATTTCTAAATTTAAGAGTTATAAGCCCTCAAACTTACCGCTAAGCCATCGAAAATGTTAAAAAGCATTATGATAAATTTCATTGAAAAAAAAATCTCAGTTCGTTAAAAAAATTAAGTCACAATACAAATACGTCAAAATTCATTAGGCATTATTATTTATTAATTATGCAGAGAAAAATGAATATCTTTCACCGCAACAAGTACTAAATATTAACTATAAAGGGCATAAATTTTAAATCAGGATTAAATCATAGCATATGATATGCATGTTCCATGTAGTGCGCTTTGTTTTGAATGGTACAACTAACGAACAGCTCCTTTTGGTTTGAATGTATAATCAATAAGCAGCTCTTTAATTTGAATAGTGCTAACGATACGATACCTCAGTTTTCTGTTTCGATTTCGCCAAAATGGCAAAAAACAATTAAATAGTAGTTTGTGTTCGATGGTATAAACGATAAGCATTAATTTGTTTTGAATAGTGCGCAAAAACTGTTATATGGAAAACGTAAGATGATAAACAGTGCTTTTTATAAAACAGTTTAAATAATATAAAATAATCATGATGGTGAATTTGGACAATACAAACAATTATTTTGTACAGTAAAAGGGAGAAAAGACAATTAGAACTAAACACATTAACTATTTAGTACATTTGATAACAAAACACTTTTCATTCCACACACTTGAGTATCTGTGTTTTTAACTTACTGTTTATAATACAAGTCTTTTGTAAAATGGGCCTGGCATGGCCAGGTGGTTACGGCACTCGACTCGCAATCTGAGGGTCGCAAGTTTGAATCCCTGTCCCATCAAACATGCTCGCCCTTTCAGCCGTGGGAGCGTTATAATGTGACGGTCAATCCTACTATTTGTTGGTAAAAGAGTAGCCGAAGAATTGGCGGTGGGCTGTGATGACTAGCTGCCTTCCCTCTAGTCTTTCACTGCTAAAGTAGGAAAAAAACTAATACCATTATAAAACCACTGAATAGTCTTAAAATGAAGAATTGCAAAAATATGACGAAGGATAGAAATCCGATTACCATGTTCATACAGTCACTAATATTTTAGTAATTTTCGGAATATATTTCATGGTGTCAACAAAAAAGAAAACGTAATCGATCAGTCAGCCAACTAGTGATGACAAGCACCATTTACTGTAATGATATGGTGTCTTCTTACTCCGAGAATTCATAATAGATCACTTAGTCGTGTAATCATAAATGTCGCATGTTCCGTCCTATAAATATTAGAAAAACTTGTTTGTTTCGTATACACGCATACAGCAACATTAGGACTATATGCATTAGCCGTCCCTAATAGATAGATTAGAAGGAAGGCTACTAATGAATAGTACCCACCGCTATTTGGGCTACTCTAATCGGATAGTGGGATTTGCCCGTCACTATTATAACGCACTCAATGCCACGAAGTGCGGAATGCGATTTTGCGGCAACCTAACGTGAACCATAGACCCTTGGATGCACAGAGTGGTACTGTAAAACCAATAGGTCACGCCCGGCTTTAGTACAATAAAAGTATAAAAACGTAATGGAATATGCAGTTACGTTTACCCAGAACTAGAAATTGCTAAACTGTGTACATCACTGGCCTCCGCAATTCGAAGAAGAGAGCCTTCAACATTTTCTATGGAAGTGAAAAAACTCGCACAGCAAAACCATGCTCCAAGCTAATCCGGCAACACCCTCATCCGCAAAGTTAAAGCTAATTACAAAAAAGAACCTTCCCAGCTCCATAAAAAAAAACTTCCACGAGAAGGTGTGTCGAAATAATTGGAGTGACAGCAATCTCATTCGGCCACATACCCGTCAAACCACCTGATACAGCTCTAATGAGCTTTAGCTTCATTGGTATATTTAAGAATTAACCTAAAGCTTACGTCATATAGAGTACATGACTTGTGTAAAATTTATCATCATATGTAATCTATACCCCTATCATCCTTCTCAGAAGCTAAATACCATAGAATGTGCTGTTTCAGGCAATAGTAGATAATGATGGTCATAACGCTCAGCACGGATGACGATGAAGGAAGTAGTTTGACATTTACGATTAAACAAAACTAATGTTTATAAAATTTAATTTATAAGCAAAATAGGAAACTCAGGAAACTGTAAGTGATCTGAAATTTGAATAACTGATTATTCACCTTACGATCATAAATAAAAATTGGTAGAGATTACTTTGCAACTTTGCAGATCATGACATTTTACTTCAATACGAAGTATGTTCACAACGAACAGTGAGGGCAGCCTGGCAGCAACGTTATATTCTTAAAATCAAAGTTAAGTATAATTGACCACTACCATGAAAATTGGTCCAATTTATTCTTCCTCAGAGAATGGCCAGTTTAGTACGGCGGCGATGGTTTGTTTGTTTGTTTGTTTATGTTGAATTTCGCGCAAAGCTACACGAGGACTATCTGCACTAGCCGTCCCTAATTTAGCAATGTAAGACTATTGGGAAGACAGCTAGTCATCACCACCCACCGCCAATTCTTGGGCTACTCTTTTACCAACGAATAGTAGGATTGACCGTCACACTGTAATGCCTCCACGGCTGAAAGAGCGAGCATGTTTGGTGGGACGGGGATTCGAACCTGCGACTCTGAGAGTGCGAGTCAAGCGCCCTAACCACCTGGCCATGCCGGGCCAGGCGGCGATGGATGGTATAATCAGTTAGGCCAGTTTATGAAACATTTGGAGCACTTTGAATTTCTGTTAGTTCTTGAAGGTTTGAGTGAAACCACTGTATTATGTAGCATAGTTAGGATATTCATTGGTATTTCAGGTCACACGACCGATTATTAGTGGCCGATTTGCAAAACAACAAACTGAGGGAGGCAAGTGTCATTATTACTTTGTCATGACTATCATATTACAAATTCCAATAATCTTTTAATTATTTCATGCACTGTAGCATCACAGCATTATAAAACAACAACTGTGCTACATTAAACGTGGAATAATTTAGTTGAATCCATTAATGCATGTTTTTGTAACAATACATTTTTACACACCTGTTTTTAAATCACGCCAACCAACAATATCCAGATTTGTGAAAGTTTCAAGAATATAACTGAAAATAATAATAATATAGAATTAAGCAGTAAAAAAGAGAAAAAGTTGTCCCTTCTCACAAAGAAAATTCAATGATATATAGCACTCAAACTTGTTTCGAAGGGTGCAATTCAAAATACGTTTGAGCGGTTGCTGCTGATGGGAGATTAAGTCTAGTAAGGGGGAAGAACCTCCAAGAAATGTTTCCAGTTGGTTGGACGGATATTTATATTCGAATAATTTCAACATTAAGTGATTTCATGGATTCTCAGGGATAAATGCAGAAATACAAGACATGTATAGTGTTAGATTACGCAATATAACTGTTCGAAGATAGTCATAAAAATGATGTATGAAAATGTAACATCTAAAAAGCCTAATATTTCATTTGTGAACCAGATCCATAGGTTCCAGTTGGCAAAATGTTAAACTTTTAAACAGTATGCTGTAGGCTGGGTTTTTCGAAGCTGTTAATACTTTTTTGCGTATAAATGTGGCCACGAAAAGTTTAAGAAAAATACTGAATAATGGTGGTGGGTATATAATAGTTTTGCAGTGTTTATCGCCAGCAAGAGTTCAAGATATTGTCAAAACATGGTATTAGGTAGAAGGAACAGTATCATTAACATCCTGTTTCATCACGCCATATCCAGAAAACGAATTTTTTACTGGTCCTAGCTTTGATTATTCAGATAAGATCCAAAAATATATTGCTCTATTGAATAAAGGATATTTGTACCCGGAGGAAAGAATTGATGATATACAAATTATCGAGTGAACAGTCCAAAGTATCGATACTAACCACATGAAAATTGTGACACCAGTTAAAAATGTAATGTTGCAAAAGAGAGTGTTCAACTAATTAACTGCAACTTTAAGAGATTTCACAGTAAAAAGGAAGAAAAGAAAATGCCAACTGACAGACTTCAAACATTGATATTATCTACACTCAAGAACGATCTACTAAGTATTGGTTATTGTTTTTATATTCCAAAATGAACTTTTTATGCATAACATTGTAATACAAATATCCTTATATCATGTTAAGTAACACTCTTCTCTATAACAACCATTTATTAAAACTCGCGTGTTGATACAATAGATTGCATTTTGATTGGTTTGATTGAACAAAAGAAGGATACGTACTGTCTTTCTGATGTTGAAACTGTCAATAGTTTTATTTACACGTCTACAGATCAGAAACTCAAATATATCTCCAGTTGTCAATATGGAGGGTGAGGAGCAGATGTTACGCTGCAAAAGTACTACGTCCTTTTGTTTGTCCATTTTATCGAGTTAAAGAAGATTGTATAAAGTTCATAGATGCCTAAGTCACTTTCATCTTTTATGTGATTTTCAACTATACACAGGATTCAGTACGTTATCTTAAAACGATTTTGAATATACAAATCAGCAAGTCACGTGATAACCACAGCCGATATAAAGTCGCCATTAGTTTTAATAAAGAAAAAGTTACACTGAAAATCGTAGTTGGTCTATATATATATCTTGCTTGTTTTTCGCAAGATTTAGCGCAAAGCTACATAATGGGTTATCTGCGCATATTCTTCCCAAATTTTGAGCTGGTATACTTGATAGCACCCATCAGCGACTCTTGAGGTACTTTTACATTATTTAATTAACCTTTACTCTTACAGTACAACCATGGCTCCAAAGTGCGGAGAGCGTTTTGGGGTTAACGAAACGCGAGCCATGAATCCTCTGATTCAGAGAACGAGCATGCCAACCACAAGGCTACGCCCGACCCTGATCTGAAATAAAACTTCAATTGATAATAAAACTCATCGTTAAATTCCCCTTCTTTGAGAGACTTTTTTGTTGAATATTAAAAAAATAATGTAAATTAAATCCTAAAAACACCATACATATAAGCGTACGCATAATATTAAGTTCAAGTAATGCATCATATTTTCTTGAGAGGCATATAAAGCTTCACCGAACAAACTGTGTTTAAGACAAGAGTGATATATAAAAACACGATGAAAATGTTTAAGAAATGCTTTTGGAACGATCGAAAATGATTCAGTTCTGAATATGTGATATATACTGTATATCATATACACATATTAATATACATTTGTGTAAGGGTTCACAACCATTTGCTTATACATACATACATATATGTATATACGTATGTGTAGGCTATGGATTTATCCATCAGACTACGTCTTTTCTCTCGACAAGTACGCCTTGTTTTACTAGATCAACGTCAGAGGACAATTATTGGAGTATGAATTTGTCTAGTATTTTTAGATAAAATCTGAAGAAAAATATACCACGTATTTTAGTGAACGAAGTATTAGCAGATTCCACTTCTTAGAATGTGTGACAATAGTAACTCTTTTTAACATAAAATTAAAACAACTTTTCAAAAATCTATAGTACGATAACTAATATTACAGACAATTCTTATAGCATATAACAAACTACATGGAATATAACAGAAAGGTTAGAAAGAAAGAGGCAACGTACTCTTCTCTATAGATGTATTTTTAACAAAAATAGGAAACTACATTTAAATTATTACATATCTAAAGCTAAAAGCAACCTGAATGTAATATGTATATAATGTTATTTCACTATTGAAATATGCAATAGCTAGAATATCGTGCCAATAGTTAGTTTCAATACACACTGTTAAAACACACATTATTAAAAATAAAAGTTAATATTTTTCGAAAAATGCTCTTTTGAATCTCTGAAATATTTTTCTCTAGCAATA